GGGGTTAGGTTACCGGTTTCCACCACTGAACTGCATGTCCTCGTGACTATGGAACTTTTCCCCGTCTGCTGTTCATCACTCTAACAAGTGTGTAATAAAAAATGTGCTTTCATAAATCATTCAGTAAGTCAAACGGTAGCTCGGTGAGATGAATAATCGAGGATCACCTTCGAGGACGGACTACTTCATTTTCCAGATGCGTGAGGCCTTCATAAGTATATCTCGCTGAGCCAATTGACGTACCCTGAATTTCGTGAACACTGTTACATTCGACCGGGACGTGCGATCGACACGAACACCTCTTCCTTAGCCCCCAACGACAATACAAGAGAGAACAGAGAATAGATCATGATACGATACGTAAATACAGATGGTTTGATTGGGTGTACGGGAACAACATGTTGACGCACCAATCAAATAGCACGGAGCCTTGTAACCGTCGGATATTATTTCAGTGTTAAAAATCCACCGTATTGAGTGCATAAAGTCAAATTTGACCTGACATTCCGATTGGTCGATCAAACGACAGCTGTCTGATTCGTCCTAGTCATTCAGTCCGGAATCGACTCGCCTGGGGTGACGTGACGCGGATCCGTGCTCAGCTTGATGGGTTTTGTTAGCCCCGTCATTACACAAGGTCTATTGGGTACCCGGTAGGAGTGGCACCTCTGACTCGTAGGGTTGTCGGCCCCTTTGAGGCATCTTCTGTTCTTTGGGCTCCACCAGGCGAACGTCTCTCACCTGTGACTCCAAGAAACTCTGTAGATGCAACAGCGGCCACACCTCAGTAAACGGCTCGACAGACAGGCCAAACCAGGTTGACGGTAGCCGGGAGCCCAACTCCCGGCGAGTCGGTGTTTAACCTACTCATTGGGCGGACGAAGTCGCCTTCACGACTCAATGGTCAAAGCGATGACTCCGTGATCAGTAGGAATGCATGGATTCCTGTTCAGCTAGAAACTGTCAATGGCGCATGAGCTCCCTCCTCCCCGGAAATTATGCACTACCTTCTTGTTGCCGTGCAGTTAGCACTTGAACGTGCAAAGGCTAGAGATGCCACCTCGACCCGACGTCGGGGGACGCTGGGGACGTTTCCTGTACCCAACTCAGGAATCTTCCTGAATATTCACTTTTGGGATATCCATGAAACCGGCTTATTCTCTCCGAGGAGCCAGCAGCCATAAACAGCATTCACAATCCGGTTTGGTGTTCGCCGACAGTCAAGGAAACACCCGAACATAAGGATTGAATCATGCCGCGAATGTTAAGTGAACTTGGAAGGTAGCGTGGAAGTGAGTGACTAACCGAGATATTATGGTAGACAACAAAGATCAGTGTTTCTTAGGAGCTAAGCGGCAATGTGAGCATGTTTCATAGAGATCCTATCATAATTAATACTCAGAATTCATTCTGAGTCCTATTTCAACAAATAAGGGAGTTTTCATATTAACTACAAACTGTTCAAAAAAGTAAAAGCATATTAAGTGGTCTCGGTCGAAGCCAATCCAGTGAGCGAATGACCGCGTGTGTTTGTCTATCTCGAGCTTTGTTTTCCCTATGTTGTTGAAGAACTGGCTCCTGACAAATCATTCATTACCACTATTACTGTCTGTAAACGGGTGCAGGCTAGGTAGGATATGTTAACCCATGTTCATATTGCAACTTCAGACAGGATAAAGTGACACAATCCGAACAAAAAACGCGGGTTTGATGAGAGGTTACGTCATTTGTTAAATATTTAAATTGCCTACTGATTAATTTTAAGTAAGCAGCCAGAACAAGCTGTTGTCCCGTTGTCCTGACTTTGCAGCCCTCGTAAGTAAATCACTTGTCGTAACATCTGTCTACTGATTGAACGGTGGTTGTGGTCAACAACGCTGTAGTGTTCCTACTAATGTACTAGAAATATCGATATCGGTCACATCCATTGAGCTCATCCCTATCACCAATTCGACTTCTCGCCATTTCCCAATTACATCTGATTCGTTTGAAGTGGAACTGTTTATTGTGTTTCCTTTGATATGAATATAGTGATTCACTTGCCTGAATATGCTGAGAAATGGGAGCGGACAGATCAGCCAACTAGCTTGCTTCATTTTCCAATTCACGACCTTGCATGTATTTCACTTAGTCTGGTCCTTCAATGTTCCACAGGATCAAATTTCACCCTCCATGACAGCTCTTTCCCCTAAATTTCTTGTCATGATTTATTTCTTCAACGGAACTGATGATGATAAAATGTTTCGAATGTATAGCAAGCTTTCTAAAAATTGTACTTTATGTGTATTCCTCTAATGGGGCTACCATATAATGCAACCGTTAATTTAAAAATTAATCCTGAGGGTTCGCGCGTGAAGCAGATCGTATGATAAATAGAAGAACAATCTAGTTTGGAATACCTGCAATACTGTGGATTACTTCCTAAGTAATCTCACTGTGTCTGCGGACACGTAATGCACATCCGGCAATATCCAGAGTTAGATTTGTACTTTGTTGCGCGAAATGCCAAAACGTTCTGGATATCGTATTCCTCATTCTCGATAATGATGGAGTCAACTGTTTATCTTCCGCTGAAGGAGCCTTAACATGGGCATCCGTGGTATCCAATGTTTGAGAGACGAGTGGCACAACATGTTCGATATTCATGCATTCGAGGATGGCTGAGAGTGTCATCTTTGCCGACCGCTACACCATGGGGGGGGGGGGGGGGNGGGGCGTTGCAAACAATTGAATCCCATATGTGGGAACTAATGAACTTCCAAGGAATGAAACGGACATCTGAAAACAATACCAAGCCGTGCGTGGTCGATTTCACGTGGTGTCAGTGGCTTGCGTTCCGTTAGTGTCTCACGACGACACGGTTTGCAAGCATACGTTTTCTGTTCTCCCTTTCGTTTTTCTGCGACTTTTCACTCACTACTCCTAGGTTGGTTTGCCTGTCGTAATATTACTGTTTAATTCGCGATCACTTTCCCTCCCCCTCTCACCTGTTTATCCAGTATCTCTCCCAACGGCAAAGTGGAATTCGGGAGATACAGCATTTGATCAGCGAGATGTCCGGCACGCTGAAAATTATGGAGGACGGTCCGACTTCGTCAGCACAGTCCGGGAACAAACTTTCTGCCAAACCGCTATCCCGTGCTACACCCAACAAGGTCTCATTCGCGTTAAACACCCGTGCACGTTAGCCTGTCTCTGAGAGGCACCTCTCCAATCATACATACATTTGCCGATCGGAGGCTGTCGGAATATCGGATGAATCGATATTTGTGCATACAGACCATCTATGCTCCAGATCAGTCCGCTTGTGTATTTTTTCTGTTTAAACTATCTGGATGAATGAACCATTCTGTCCTCATTTGTACAAAATACGAAAATCGATATGCGTATATTTTTGTGGTTTCAAGTATTTGTCTCCCGCTATTGTTCTTTCTTCTTAGAGCCTATGAATATACTCCTTAAAATCCAGCACTGTGGTTTACCAGTAGGTAGACATGTTTTCTAACCCATGAGTCGACCTAGTTCACGGTTGGAATTAGACTGCCGAGTGTATTGCGTTTTATACCGAAGCGATGGTATATCTCCGTCGGTCGTGTCTGCGTACTGCATGTTTCATGTTGAATAAAAAACTGCTAGATCATTTTATCGATAACGAAAATACCTACTTTCAATATCAAAGTAGTTATTTTTAATTTAAGAAATTTACTTTGGGAGTCGTACAATTAAGGTACCGTCCGCGATTTGGTCACACCGGACCGGACCAGGGAACCTCCACAACTATCTGCGTGACAACTAATTTGATGTGCGGCAATCGCCATCTCGGTCAGATAGTAGAAACAATTATTCCATTAAATCCCATATTTCAGTCGGAATAAGCAGAACTCAGCGCCATCGCCAGATACTTGCCTCGTGCATGACCAATCTGAAACAGAAGCAAATGAAGAACACGCGGTTAGGATATTGTTGTGTTCGGACTAGACGTTCGAATAATACGAGCGACTCTTGTTTAACCCCCAACGACAACGCGGAGAGAGAACACAGCTTCAGACAACAGTCAGTGTGTATTTTTTAATTAGATTTCGATACGCAAATATATAGAACAAATCACGCATGCGAGGACGGCGCAGCGACGCACCAATCAATCAGATTGCGTCCATGCTATACTGATTGGTCGATTGGACGAACATTGACTGACTTGTTCCAATTGGGCTCGGTTTGTCTGGCGCGTTGTGAGCGTGCGTATGGCCTGACTAGGAGACGTGCGCGATCGGACGGGTTGCTTAAGCTCCGTCCTAACAGATATAATCCAATCGTTGCTATGGTCTTTAAGTGATGGGGAAGCATATTGCAGAATGGACCAGGGGATTAAAAAGCAGACACTGGAAGGTAAGTGTCAAGTTAAAATAAAAATACAAATTTGCATTGCATTTTGTTCTCTTTTTGTAGCGTACTGAACAGTTGTTTAAGAAAACAAACAGTGTTGTCCTTTCAAGCGGTCCGGTATTGTAGTTCTCTTGGTCTACGGTAACCATTGTGTCGCTCCCTGATTGTGGTCGATGATGTGGTAAAACATTTCACTATAGTTTGCTGAATGCATTACGAAATATATTCACGTTAGATTGGTTACTTGGGTTATATTGGAGTATCGCATTGCTCTGACTCACGGTAGTGGACTCGGTTTATTTCCTATTCCCGGCCCCTTCACTTGGCCCCCATTTTCCAGCTCGTAAAATCCTCTCCGAAAACTTATCACTCTCAGAATACCGTAAGTAGTGCACTATGATATAAATTACAGATTCTAAAGTCTCACAGATTTCTAAATCTTGGGGTCTTCAACGAGAGGACTTTCGTTCAGGTGGGTGAACAAGCTCGTTTGGGGACTTCGTAGTGACCTATGTTTGCTGTGCATCAGAGACGCTAATGTCGAATCTTAGAAGTATAAACCACCTAAGTGTGCTGTGTTTATCCTCAAGGTACTTCATCACAAAACGATGAAGATTACTCACCAGGGCAGTGCGGAGTAGGTAACGTGTTGGACTACAGCTGAATCCTCACTGATCGTATCCAAAGCCTCCTCAATCCGACTGCAGCTGCACTCCGTGGACTTCTGCGGTTGTGCAGCATGTGAAACAGGCTTTACCCCTCTGTCGGGAAACACCTGTAAGATACCTGCACCGATTACATATTTGAATAGGTGGGTTGAAATACGCTAAGATTCGGTCGGAATTCCACATTACTTCTACTCATTCAGACGCCCGTTGATAAGCTACAGATCAAATAAGATTGGTATCGTTTTTCCAAAGCCAATTCACTGGGTGACGAANCCCGGTAGTTCGTCGAGAGCACGGAGGTGCACTCATCCAAATGCAGTCAAAAGTCAGGTTTGAATGAGAGTACACTTTACAACCGCCGCAACTTCACGTCTGGATTTGAGCCCGTGACGATGACGTACTCTAAGTGTGCTGTCGCTTACAGGGTTTTTGCTCACATGACATCTATGATTTGTTGTTGAAAAATGGCGGAGGTCTTCTTCACCAAAAGTCAAACCAAGGTACTGGAACAATCCACGGTATATGTTGAATGTCGGAAGCTCCCTAGAATCTCCANCGCGTACGAAAAAATCAAGCCACAAAAACTCGTTTCATCATTAAGTTTTGAGAACAATTCCTCCAGAACGGGAAGCTGATACTGGTGAATACTACCCTCAGGGCGGTCAAGATAAGACCTGGCATGAGGGTATGAAAACCCTGACCAGGAGACTGGCTCACATGGGTCTTTTTAGGCTCTCTGGATGGTAACCCAGAGATCATGTTCACCGGTGTTTAGAGACACTGAGCGATATGGCTGGATGTCGCAAACAGTGACGCTCATGCATCTATTCATTATTCTTGTAACTTCAATCTATGAAAATGTGCTACCTTTCGCTTAAATCTGCCCTCAACATTCTAATCATCATTCTGCTATTTTATCCAAATGGGCAGCCAAAACCGGCTCACGAAAGTGCATGGTTAATGGTTGTAAAAACTGAACTGAACTGAATACAAAGAGCTTTATTGAGGTCAATGGACAAGTTCGAACCTATTCGGCCTCTTGACCAAAACATTTGATGCGGCCTATGCAGAACAATTAACTGGTTGAGGCACACTGTCCGCTGAAGGCTACCAAACTCTTAGTCGACTATCGGGAGGATAGCGCACGGAGGCGACCGTTTAGGTTTGATGACCGGCGTTATCTCAGACAGTAGCTATTGCCTTTGTATACGTGGCTATTCAAATAAAGAATTCTAATTTCTTTTGTTTACCTGGTGGGAATTCGATAGCCAGGTGATTGGAAACCTGTTTGCGTGTTCCATAGTGACGGCGGCAAACTGTCGCAATCATAATCATTTGGTACTTCCCAGAGGTGGAGATCTTGAATCCGGTCAAATTCAGAGTGATTCTTGTTTGACCGATTGGTGAGATAGCGGGTACCCGAGCTTTGTGTGCCATCAAAAGAGATTCAACAATCGCGCTCGCTAGTAAGCACTAGTCTTAGGCACCCATTTAGACAAACCTCTTTCCGATCTATCTAGTTCTTCCCCTCAATCTCGTATAACCCCCCCCCCCCC